TCAAGTGGGGTGGCATCATAAATGAGACCTGGATCAAGAGCACGATTCGGATCAACTTGTCCTGCTCCCATTTCAAGTGGTGGAGCATCTTTATTATTGTTTCCTGTGTCTTTGATGGGTTTTTGCGTATTATCAAGTGGATTTGCAGTGGTCATCATGGCCGATCTAATAGCAGCAGGACTCCAATCGGGATGTGCAGCTTTTAGGAGCGCAGCAATTCCAGATATATGAGGACAAGCCATTGATGTTCCTGACAATAGTGCGTAGTCACTGGCCAAGAATATGTTGTTATCAATTCTTGCTACATTAGTGTAAGGATCGTATGCTGCTAAGATTAACACTCCAGGTGCCATTATGTCGAGCTTTAGGATGCCCGGATAGCTTCGTGCAGGACCTCTTGATGAGGATTCAGCCAAGGTTGGAGCAGCTATGATCTTCGTTCCCAAGATTGTTTGTTGGAACTCGATGCTTGCTCGTGGGTCATCACTATTAGATGCATAATTGATCACATCTTTCGCATCTCTCGGAGTAATTACCACTCCAGGGTAAGGAAAAGAAGCAGATTGATGTATGCTAGTAACTTCATTAATGATTATGGCTGCTCGAATATTGGACTCCAACAGATACTGCCATAGGAAATAGAAGTCTCCTGTTACATCAGATTGATTACATATGATGATACCACCTTCAGGGGCTTCAGACAATAATTCAGTTGAATTGCAGGCAGATAAGGTCTCATTGTAAGTGAGAGCCAAGTTTCTGACTGTGGTTCTAGCAGGAAACAGGCTCCATCCGGTGATGGACAAACCATTTCCTAGAGTTATGGTCCCAGCAAACCAACGATCAACAGTTCCTGATGCCACTACCACTGCCCAGGGGATTCCTTTGATTAAAGTTGCGAAACTTGGACCACGGTTTCCTGCAGAAGTAGAAACAAGGATTCCCTTCTCTGTGGCACCGAAGGCAGCTATGGCAATAGGATCCTCGTACAATTTAGTCCTACCGTTACTCAGAGAAATCGACAGTATATCAACTCCATCAGCCACAGCCTGGTCAATACCTGCGAGAACATCAGATTCAAGGTTTCCTTGACGCCAGAGGACTTTATATGCAGCAAGCCTAGCACGTGGAGCCACTCCTCTCGCTGTTCCTGGAGCGTAGCCAAAGAATGAAACACCATCAACGTAGTTTCCAGCTGCTGTGGACGCTACGTGGGTGCCATGACCTGAATCATCCCTTGCAGAATCCATCATTATTGTAACCCCGGGATTTGCTTCCCGAACTCCCTTGCTAAAGTATCTTGCTCCAATGAGTTTCTTGTTACACAATGAAGAATTGAACCCTTCACCTGCTTGGCAAATTCCCTTCCATCTAGCAGGAACTTCTGTCATTCCATCATCTTTAAAG